GGGTGCGGGGTGGGGGGTGCGCGCCTAGAGGTACAGAGATTGCCCGGCGGCATGAGCTTCAGAAGTGTGCCCCGCCGCGCACCTGGTACGGGCTCCGATTCTGTTGAATGAGTAATACAGGTGTTGTAACGAGGGAAGACAGATTGCATATTACATAAGACGTAGCGAGCTTGCCGAGTGCTAGGGACATTGTTCTACTCACTTTACATTTTTAGGTTCTTTAATCCACTAGATACCCTTGTGATGCTGGTATTGTTGTCCCCATTTTACAGATGGGGACTCTGAGCAACAGAGAATTGAGAGGAACTTGTGCAAGGTTATACAGAACCCACAGGTTATAGATAAACCCATGCAGGCTGGCTTCCCAGCCCCTTATAGTAACTCTGTATATAGTCTCAAATTGTGGAAACCCATTAGGTGAGTCAAAGAGAGAGAAACTATATCCTTGAGGGCTCAGAGTAGAGTCAGTAAAGAACATGTGTTTTTATGATTTAAAATAGTCGCAAGTTTTATTTGTAATTAAAAAATTCAGTGAGAATCCCTCTGCAATTCGTTTCAACAAATATTTATGGAGCATCTTTCATAAGCCAGCCCTGAACAGGACACTGGAGCTACATAATGAAATCAGTCAAAGTTTCTGCCTGCAGGAAACTCATTATCTAAGATGGGAGATAATGAAATCAACAATCCCAGGATCCTAGGAAAAGTGCTGGCTGAGACCTGGTGCCCTTGGTGCTTCTGTGCTTGTGCTTCAGGAACAGAAGAGAGCTCCGGCCTAGCCGGGTGTGGCTCAGCAGCTGAGCATTGGCCTGGGATCCAGGAGATCGAGGTTTGATCCTGGTCAGGGCACTTGCCCTGTTGGGGGCGTGCAGGAGGAAGGCGATCAATGAGGACTCTCTCATCATTGATTGTTTGTGTCTCTTTCTTTCTCCCCCTTTCCCTTCCTCTCTCTGAAATCAATAAAGATATATTAAAAAAAAAAAAAATAAGGGAGCTCTGGGGTCAGGGAAGACTTCTGGGGTGAGGTTACCCCTGACTGAGTTTTGAAGAATGTAAAATTAGCTCCATGAGGCAGTGGGAATAGCTTGAGGGAAGGCATGGCGCTGTGAAGCAGCATGACACATTGTCTCCAGGAGCCAGGTCCTTCTGGCTGGAGTGAGGCATTCAGAGAGAAGCCCACAGGGCCCTGGGTGGAGCTAAGTTTGATTTGGATGCTGAGAGCCATCGGGGGCCGATGAAGTCTCCTGCCTTCCTACCTGGGCTTCCTTTCTGGTTTTCACACGCATCCCCTTCTCTTCTCATGTCCTTACTAGTTTCCTTAACCCCCACTTCTTCAGGTCGCCCCATCATCTTCCTCTCTTCTCACAAAGGCCCTCCATGTTTCTTCAGCATCCCCATCATTTCTGCTGTCACCTGTCCCTCAGGCTTCCTTATCCAACTCCCTTCAGACAACACTGAGTCATCAAAATTAAACCTTCAACCCACCATTTGAACAACATAACCACTTTATACAGTGTGAAGATTACTGGGGTACAAATTGTACACACAGATGCAAATTACTGGTAGCCTAGTTATAAAACCTGTTTATCTTCACAAGTGTCTGTTGGGTGTTTTGGCTCTACCCTGAATGATCCTCTGGCCACCTAGCCTGGCTGCCCTCTCTTTCCCTCTTCCTTACATTCCTCTTACATAATTTGAAAGGTCCTTTTAAACTGTCTCTTTTGGGTCATTTTGAAGCTGGTCTTTGTGAAGCTCTGAGACACACCAAAGTAGGAATTATCTAGATTCCATGCCTACATCCCTGGACTAAACTTTTTTCTAGACACCAAACCATCACATTTATTTGTTCATTTGTTTGTTTGTTCATTCATTCACTCATGCATTCTATAAATACTTATCCAGCTTTTATTCTTTACTAAATTTTATTCCAAGCACTTGGTGTGATCTTACCAAGATCAATAGGCTCTAGCCTCTCATTAAGGAGCACACTGTCTAGGAGGAGATGAGACTTCTCAACAGATACTCCAGATAAAGTGTCTGGAGAGATGATGGATTGCAGTTAATTCTAACTGAGCTAGGGGGTTGGGAAGTCTTCATAGGTAACCCTGGAACTCTTTCTGGAAAGCTAGGTAGGAGCTTTGTAGGTGGACAAGGTGGGCGGGATGGGTGGAGTGTGTTCCAGGTAGAGGGAGCTGCTTAAGCAAAGGTCCAAAGGCCTGCACCAGCACTGCTTGTTGGAACTACAAATAGTTTGTGTGAAGCATTAGTTGCATTCATTTGTGTTGGGTTAGAGCAGGTTAAAGGAAAGTGAGAAATTGTGAGGATGAGGCAAGGTTGTTTATTTTGTGTCAAAAAAGGTCATTTGGACTGTTAAGGTGGTAAAAGGGAGAAGTGAAATAGTAGCCGAACCGTCTATGTCGTCTGCAGGCTTCTTTGAGGGGAGAGGTCATAAGACTATCTGAGGGCACAGAGGTCTCTAATGTGCATGCCCAGGCTCCTGGCAACCCTGGCCCAGAGCCCACCAGCAATGTACGGGTCCTTTGCTCTGCAGTCCTAGACTTTGCAAGTATATATTATAGGTGAAGTTTATTGTGATATGTTAAACAAAAATTTTAACTTCTACAGCTGAAATTATTTTATTTATTATTTTAAAAAATGTATCTGTATAGATTTCAGAGAGAGGAAGGGAGAGGGGGAGAGAGAGATAGAAACATCAATGATGAGAGTTATTGATTGACTGCCTTACACACACACACACACACACACACAGCCCGACTGGGGATACAGCCCTCAACAGGGGTATGGCCCTGACCAGGAATCTAACTTCAGTCTCCTGGATCCTAGGTCGATGCTCAACAGCTGAGCCATGCCCTGCCGGGCTTTATTTTAAAGGAAGGGTTTATTGGGCCATTGCTAGCAAGAAAAAGACCAGGTCCTGGGGCATGAAGTCTAAACCACCAGCTGCAGTGCCAGGTGGGAAAGCCAACATGTTCACAGCCCCAGAATTGATAGCTTTTTAAAACACATCAGGTAGTGGGGAGAGAGATGTAAGCTATTTTGAAAGAATTTACATTGGCTACAGATTAGGTGGGTGGGATAAGGTGGAGTGGGGGCAACAGTCTGAAAAGTTCATGTGTAAGCAAGAAGTGGAAGCTCCTGGGGTGCAGCAGTGCCTGGTGGAAATAGCCACCTAGAAGTAAATTCCGAGTTCCACCATACACTACTCAGGAATGTAAGCAGCCTTGCTGCTTTGCCCTGCAGTTGTTAGCTGATTAACCCCTCTTGTCTCTGCCTTCCACCCTGTTGTAATTTAACTTAGGACATCTCAGAATCTTCTCCTTGTCAGATGGGAGGTGGCTATGGTGTGTGTGTGTGTGTGTGTGTGTGTGTGTAGGGAGGAAGGTAAGAGTAAGAGGTTACATTTAACCCCAGGCCTGTACCCATCTAATGGTATTTTCCTATAGTACCCTGACCCTAGGGTGGTGCTTAAAACAAAAGATTTTATTTGAGAAAGGGAAGGAAGGCTAAAGAAGAATTAAAACAAACACGTTAAATGATGGGGCCCAAAGAAATCCATAGGAACTTAGGAACACTGAGAATATTAAACTTTTTACCTTCCTTCCTGGGTTCCTGTCAAGCATAAGATGTCACACCTCTAACCAGACAAACCAGACCCACTGAGCCAGTAGCTGACACTTTGGAGCCAAAGGACAAGCAGTCTGGCAGCTCTCGAATGTTCTTGGGACAATAGGTGTGTACACTGAAGATATCTTTAGCTTCTAATATAATTTTTCAATTCAATTTTTGAATAATCTGTTTACTTGGTTCAAAAATAAAAAAGTGTTAAAGGTAAAAGGAAAATTCCCCTTCTCATTTCATCATTTTCTCAAACTCTTCCACCATTAATCACTGTTGTTAGTTTTTGTGTGCATTGTCCCAATTTCTTTATGCATAAATAAGCAAATAGGAATGTAAATTCTTATTTCCCCACTTTCTACACAAATTGTAGTATACCTGATAGCAGTGTCACACACCTTGCTTTGCCCATCAGCCATTGTATCTTGGAGACTTTTCACATCAGTTCGTAGACTCTGTCCTTGTTCCTTGTACAGCTGCACGGTAGTCCCTGCACCTTAGGTTTTACAACCAGTCCCTACTGATTGGCATGTAGGGTTCCCCCAGTGCTTTGTTATTATGAACAACGCTGCAATTACATAACATTGTACATATGTCACTGCGCATAGATGCCAGCATATCTGTAGGATACATTTCTAGAACAGGAATTGCTGGGTCAAAGTGGAAATTTTGATAGATAATGTCAAATTTCCCTTCCTAGGGGTTTTATCAATATACATTCCGACCACCTCACCTGCTTCCCCTCAGCTTTGTCAGCAAAGTGCGTTTTGAAACTTTCAGGGTTTGACAAACTAATGGGTGACAGAGGGTAGGCCAGCAGAATTTTAATTTGCATCTCCTTGGCTAAATAAATGTTTAAGAGCCATTTGCATTTGTATTGTCAGACTGTCATTTACTTCTAAAGTGAAATGTCTTAAAAGTCCAAGCTCGGAGCTTCCCACTTGCATTTGCAATGTCTCTGGAATCTTTGAGAAAATATATACCTTTATTTAAAAAATAGCTTTTGACATTCTTTGAAAATAAGAGAAGTGCCATCTACAAGTCACTGCTGAACAATATGAAAACACTACAGGTATTTTGAAATTAATTTTTGACAAACAACAGAATCTGAAAAGACTAAAATCAGGTCCCCAGAAATTCATGACACTGTTAAAAGCAGCCTGGTTGAGACCCATTAGAGCCTTTGTAAATTTAACATTTTTATTCCTATAAAAAATATTTTCCTATGAATCCACTTGTATCCCCCCCAATAGCACCTATGCTCTTCTCTAGTCTTGAAAACAGCATAAAAAAATCCATATGTGCTTTAAATCAACACTCCCTGTGTCCCAAATATTCCCTGTAGTGCGGATCCCACTCCCTAATGGTTCCCAAATGACAACCACTTCTGGAATTTGGGAACTAGATAAGAGGCAGAGTGCTATTTCTTTCCCCACAGATAGCAAACTTCCGAGAGAGGTACAGGTTGCAGAGGGCTCAGCTGTTGGAACACTTTGTCTGCAAACAACCACTTGTTGGAGAGAATAGCTGGAGGTTGTTTGTTTTTTGTTTTAATCCTAAAATTAATTTAAGATTATGGCCCATTGGCTTATGGGCCTTAGTAAACAGAAAATAGTTGTTCCTGAACGACTTGCTCCCTAGTGGTCCTCATCAAGGACCCCCAGCACAGTCCAGGATGGGGTCCCCAGGTGAAGAGGCCTTGCCCAGTGGCTGGCAGCCCCTGGGTTTCAGGATTTGTTGAGGCTGTAGCGTCCCTAACAAGCACGGCTGTTTTCTTCCCCACCCTTCCTTACCCAGCCCAGCCTGGGAATCCACCTCAGAAACTGGCCCAGCTGGTGTGGCCTCTAATGAGTGGTTGGGTCATGAGGAGGAGGCCATGGGCTGGGAGAGAGGTGGGAGCACCCAGGGGTTAATTTGCCCACATAGTTCTTAGCTGATTCAAGGCTTAGCCATTAGGCTTCTGCACTCCCTGCTTCCTGTCCATCCTTGACCACCCAAGACTCAAAGTTTGTAACATTCCTTGAGCTGGGAGGCTTGGGGGAAAATCTGGCTGTGTTTATGGGCCGTTCTGTCTTCGGCCTCTATCAATCAACTCTTCTTTCCCAATGTGGCCTCAGCTCCCCAGGAAGACCTTTTTCTGTTACTTTCCTCAGAAATCCTGGGCCACAGCCTCTGAGATCAGCTACTTCCTTGGGGAAGTACACCTTCCAGGCTGGCGATTTGGGGGTGGGAAGGTGCACAGTGGCTCAGCTGTGAGGGTCATGAGATTCTGGGAAGCACTTGTGCTTCAGCCTCTATACCACCCCTTCTGTTTGTGAGAAAAAATTAGGGAATCCTGGGTGGGAATTCTGATCTGGAGGAATCCTGCCATTGGGCCACCATCCAGCAGAATTCCTTGTTCCCACAAGGGAGCCTCACCTGGCTTCAGGTAGGTCACCTGGCAGGTAAGAACTACACCTCAGGGCTGGCAACCCCACAGGAACAGGCAACCACCCATCTTCCCACTTTGCGCAGTTCCAGCCTAGCGGAAGGAGAAAATATGTGCTGAGGCTACACAGGGGTGGTGGACGGCACAGCTGTTTCTAAGCAGAGGCTTCCATCACATTTTTGACCCTGGCCTAGAACCTGGAGTTTCCATTTCGGTCTAGAGCTCAGGTGCTCAGCTCAGCTCTAGCCTCAGAGATCACCAGCCCCCAGTTTCCCTGTTGTGCCTGAACCCCTGCTGGGAGCCAGGAGCTGGAGGTGAGGAGATGCCACCAAACTTTCAGTCAGCACCATCCTAGTGCCCTCCCTCTGCCCCAGCTCTCCTCTCTGCCCACCCACCCCTCAGGGCTTGGTTGAACTAGGTCTGCACAGCTGCCCTCTGTCCCCTCACGGGCCATGGCCAGCCCGGTGGGGTGGAGCAGGGCAGCTTCCAGAGCAGCTCTCAGGCCGGGCCTCCCTGGGTGGCCCTTGCAAGCGCCTCTACTCATGCCTGCTTCCTTACCAGTAGCACCCAGGGCAAGATGGCAGCTACCACAGCCACCACGGCGATGAGGGTGATGAGCAGGAGGGCTCGGGAGCGGCAGCAGAATGAGCGGGGGGAGCTGGGCGCTGGGGGTGTCTCGGAGAGCTCTGCCAGGCTGCGCCGAGGCAGGACACTGTCCTGCTCCCCCAGGGGCATCCCGTGGCGGCTGATGATGAAGATCTGAGGCTCCCGGGGCAGGCTGGGCAGTAAGTCCAAGGGGAGCTGGGCACTCTGATTTGGGGATGCTCTCCAGATAGGCTGGGAGATGGCCACAGGGTTTGTGTGGCCCAGGGTGTTCGATGGTGGCCCAGAGGGCAGGCCCGTAGGCACGGCCAGGGTCTGGGAGCTCTTGTCCAGCATGGAGGGCCAGCGGGAGCTCTTCTTGCTGAGGAAGGTGACATAGCGGCAGATGGGGCAGACGATGGTCCTCTGGACCTGCCCATCCACGCGGGTGGAGAGTAGGTACTTGACGAGACAGTCATGGCAGAACACATGGCCACAGCTCAGCGTCCGGCTGGCACCCTCCAGATCGCGGAACTTCTCGTAGCACACGGGGCACTCGCTGCCCGAGCTGTCCTTGCTCTCCCCTTCTGACATGGCTGCTCTGGGAAGGCAGGGCCTGGGCTGTGGGCTGTGGGCTGTGGGCTGTGGCGGGAAAAGCTGTGAGCGTTGGTGCCCTTTCCTCCTTTGCTCCCCTCCCCAACTCCCCTCTGCACCCCTGCTTCCACCGCTCCTTCCTGTCTCCTCGCCTCCTGTCCTCTTTTCCCCCCTAACTTTCCCTCTTCCGCTGCCCCTCCTCAGTGGCCTGCCTGAATTAAACCAAGACCAGAGCCTAAGACCCTTAGGAGGAGATGAGGGGGCGCTTCTGGAAGTGGGGGTAGGGAGACAGATGATGAGAGATCCCAGCCCAGCCACCCTGGGCCCTGGGGGGAGGTGCGTGGAGTGTGACAAAGGCGCAGCCTTCCTGATACCTCACCTCAACCACGACATGCACACACGGTGAGATCATCACCTCCCCGCCTCCTGGTTCCCGGCTAGAAGTGAAGGCAGAAGACCCAGTCCCCGGGGAAGCAGGTGGCTGAGTAGATGCTGCCCCAGCCTCAGTCCAGACCCCAGTGTGGGCCTGTGCCCAGAGGGACTGTTTTCCAGAAAAGCCTCTGCTACTCCTCCATCTCCCCGCTCTGATCCATTGGTTTGTATCCAGCCATCGGTTGCATTCCTTTGTGCCGTGTGTGGCTGGAAAGCAATGACTGTTTTGAAAATAAAGCGCAGAACTTACACATCCAAATGCCTGCTGGCCCTCTGCGTAGTCAGGTCAGGGAGCTGTAGGCTCATCCTCCACCTGCCACGGCTCAGCCATTCTTCAAATTCTTCTTAGCCGGCTGCCTGGGACCTTCTGATTAACCTCAGGGAAGGCAGATTTTCATCCAGCGAGTGTATGTCTGGTGTGAAAATGGCCAGAAGTCACTGCGAGCCAAGCCTGGTGGGAAAGGAAGTGAGTGCTCAAGTGGCATGATACTGTTTTAAATCAAAGATACCCAGTCACCATGAAGTTACAATGTGGGTTTCAAATATTATCTGAGAGCAAAGGAGAGGCTCCAAATGTCCTCGGCAATGGCAGGATTGTTGGATTAAGTACACAGCTTCCCAAGGTGGTGGCCTTGAAGGGAAATGGCTGGTTGGCTATGTGGTGAGGCTGAAATGTCCTCATTTAAGTCTAAACTCATCTAGAACAGCTCCTTTAGAGGGAGCCATGATCACTTGTTACAGTCACCTGAGTATTCTTCATCAGTGACAAAAGACCCCTGTACACACTGACAACAGAACTGAGAGATGACATGTGGGAACAAGATTAGTTAATAGGAGGGCAACTATAGTTTGTCAAATCACAAATCTTTTGGAATTGTTCCCCTCTCTTGGCTTGGTTCCAAATCCATTCTACCAAATTGAAACGTCCCATAACTAAGGAGGAGTGAAAACAAGTAAAGGTAATTTCTCAGAAAAACCTGATGAAACTTGGGATGGGGGCCCGGGCCCCTGCAGGCAGCACCAAAACCTTCGTAGAGGTTTTCAGCCTTTAGTTTCTGAGGCTATCAGTGTGACCCCAGGCACGGGGTGGGGTTGCAACTGCTCAGACTCTGGAGCTGGGTTCAAATCCTTGATATACCCATTCCTGCCTGTAAAACCTCAGGCAAGGTCTGAGCCTCAGTTTCCCATCTGTAAGATGGGGTTGATACTAATAGTACTACCTTCCTCTCAGAATTGGTCAGGGTATTAAGTGAGCTCAGGTGAGTGAAGAGGCTGGCACACAGTAAGTGCTCAGTAAAAGATAGGTGTCACTCTTAAGGCAGGCCAAGTTCTCTCCCCTCCTAGCATCTGCCTCCCTTTCCTTCCCTCTTCTCCCAGATATTCCTTATTATGTAGCTGACTGAAAAATTACATACCCCTGCCAGAGGGCAGCTCCCCTCAAGTTAGAATAACTGAACAAGATGACTATAGTAGTCGGCAATAGATAAAAACTAAGATGGTGATGCCCGTGTTTCTCAGTCTTTTTCATTTCATAATGCTTGTAAATGTCTAAACTAAGCTGGAGTTATTCTCAGAATGACCATGATTTTCTTAAGCCAACCACCTGCTAATGTGTCCTCCTGTGTTTCATGACTCCCTACAGGCATATGGTGGCAATTCATTCCATCCATCCATCCATCCATCCATCCATCCATCCATCCATCCATCCATCCATCCATCCAATCAGCCAGCCAGCCAGCCAGCCAGCCAGCCAGCCTTCCACCCATCCATCCAATTATTCAACAAATATTTATCGAGCACTTGCTGCATGCTAGGTATGGAGCTAGGCATTGGAGATAAGCAGTGATCAAGAAAGTCCTTCATGAAGCTAGAGCCTAGTGGACAGTTATAAATTTTCTTGAAAAAGATAAAAAAATAAAAAAGATGAGGAATGATATCAATAGCCTGTTGTTTGGGTAACTGAGAGGTAGGTATCAAGGTACACAAGAGATTTAAAGCAGGTAAGAGAATGCTAGGGGAGGAAAGGACTTCTGAGGTAATTAGTTAAATCTAGTTTTATAGGTGAGCAGACCCAGGTTCAGAGAGGGGGAAGTGACTTGTCTGAGGTCACCTGGGAAGGTGATGGAGAGGGAGATGGCACAGGGGTGTGTGTGTGTGTGTGTTCCATAGATGACATAGAGAACATTATTAGAATCAGTTAATAGATTAGGTGACTAGATATTAGCCAAGTCAGGAAGCACTGTCCTCCTTGGGATAGCAGGGGAGGGAGGAGAAGAGACTATTTTTCATGTGAGTTTGTGGAAAAGTAAAAGGGATTCACAGGATGCGAAAGACAGTTCCCGCTGGTGGCCTCTCTGGCAATGCTTTCTCCTTCCCGTGCTTCAGGAGAGGCATGTCATTCATGCCTGGACAACGCCACCCTGCTTCCCTACCTTCTCACCTTCCTTTCTCGGTCTTTCCCTGACCTCTCCCTCCTGTGTCCCTCCCCTTCTCTTAATTCTTTATCGTCGAGTTCCTCTTATGGGCCTGACTCTGTCTGGGGTGCTGGGGCGGGGGAGACGGCAGCAGAAGAAATGCAAGGAACATGCTCTGGTTTGGGCACAGACCAGCTAAACAGCAACGCAAGACAGCATATGCCAAAAGGCATTCCCGTGGGTGCGTTAGGAAACTGCGGGGAGAGGAGGGCTGGAAAGTCTCCCTAAGTGAGGTGGAACCAGTGTCGAGCTAATAATAAATAATTACAGCAGCGACTATTTATTGAACACTAATTATGTGCTTGGCATTTTGCATTCCTTCCTCACTTAATCCTGGGAGGTAGGTATTATCTCCATGTTACAGATGAGGGAACTGAGGCTCAGGGCTCAGGCTAAGTAGCCTGTTCAAAGCCACACTGCTAGTGCAGGGCAGACCCAGGCTAGGCAGCCCATGCTAGGTCCTGCTGCCTCCAGCAAGTGCTTGGATGTGCCTCCGTGGAGGGCATTCCAGACCTTGGTCCAAGGGGTAGATGAAGAATCGAGAACAAGATGGCAGAATAGAATGTCCCAGGCCTCATACCTCTACAGAAACACTGATTTAACAAATATCCACGGATGAAAAGACCTCACAAGAGCTCCAGAATCCAGTTGTAAACATTATAGAGATACAGTTTTTTGTATATCAATCATACTTCACTCAGTAAAGTGTGTTTTTTTTTTTTTAAAAAGGAATAGATGAAGAAGCATCCGTGGAAAATTGACTCCCCAAACTTCCCTCTAAGAGTGACTCTAAACAGAGCTGCCACTCCAGCGACCTGGGAGGCAGGGGAGGACAAGGGCTGGCCCAAGGGGAGCTGGCCCAAGGGAGCTGACTTCATGACCCCCAGTGCCCAGCTTCACCCATAGCAGCAGCCCATTGTGGAGACTGGTTGGGGGTGTCATCAGCCCAGGGACCCCCTCTTCCCCACCTTGGGACAGTGAGCCTGTGAGGCAGATGCCCAATAGTTTCAGCTATGACCACTTCCCCATCCCGAGACACTACACACACACACACACACACACACACACCCACTCCCACGCCCATCATCACTCCAGCTTCAGCCCAGGACCTCGCCAGGCTCCGCCTGGATCCTGCTCCTTCCCACCCGCAGCTGGGTCCCCAGACTCACTTTGGCTGAGGCCGGGAAGAGCAGTATCCTTCTCTCCAGCTGGGGCTCTTTAGGGCGGATCTGAGCCACCCAGAGGTGCCGGGCAAGCAGCGCGTCCTCCTGCTGCTGCTCCTGTGACAGCTGCCGCTGAGGCATTCCCTGATGACTGAGCAGGTCGGGAGGACAGCGCCAGGAAGTGAATGTCACCCAACTCGTTTGAGGCCAGGAGGCTCTTGGCATTGCCCAGGGGTTTGGCAGCTGCGGGAGTCATGTGATCTTGACGAGGCTGCTAGGACAGGAGCCCCTGGCCTGAAGAGGGGCCCTGGGATAGGTGCTCCCAGGCAGAGGGTCTCACAGGAGGCAGTGACCCAGGGCCCCTTTGTCTGAGATGGGTTTTCCCATCCCAACAATAAGCCAGCCATGTTCACAACCTTCCACTCTCCTGGACCCATTTCAGCGATCCTCCCCCACCCCCCGAGCCCCTGCAGTGCCCAGGGTGACGGGGCCAGATCAACCCCAGGAAGGTTATGATACCCAAAGTCACATACAAATATTTGGGGGTTGTGTCTATGTGTATTTGTCATTCGTCAAACCCTCAAAGGGGCTCAGAGCTCCAAAGGACTAAACGCCACTGAGATAAAGAATCAGGCAGAGCCAGGCTGGTGTGGCTCAGTGGTTGAGCACCGACCTATGAACCAGGTCAGGGTTCGATTCCTGGTCAGGGCACATGCCTGGGTTTCGGGCTCGATCCCCATTAGGGGGTGTGCAGGAGGCAGCCATGACTCTCATCATTGATGTTTCTCTCTGAAATCAATAAAACATTAAAAAAAAAAAAAAGAGCGCAGCAGAGTAAAACCAACAAATTAGAAACGCACGCCTGTGTGACAAGACACCCCTGGTGTCACGGGAAATAGGAGTTTCAGAACAGTCTGTATAATATGATTCT